CTCTGGGGGGGGGGAAGAGCGCAGGAGTCTGCGAGGACGTTTCTGTGGCCAGACCGGTGGGTTTCCGTGCCCCTTGTTAAAATGGCGGGTGGGCGAGGGGCTGCGCGGCGTGCCTTGCGGCCCGGCCGGAGTGGGGTGAGCTCAAACCACCAGCAGCGAGACCTGGGGGGGTCTGGAGCAGTCATCACGTCCCGGAGCAGATGCTTCGCTGCGTGGTGAAGGACCACTTTTGCTGGGCAAGAAATGTGAGGCCTGCCCAGTCCCGCTTGCCGTGGTTCATGAAGTGTCTGCTTCCAGAGACGCTCGCCGTCACTGTGCTTTGGCGTAGGCGGGCGATGTGCAGCGGGGAGCTATGGCTCAGCCCAGAGGTTTCCCCCTCTCACGGTGCCACTGGGGGACCTGGCTGCTCTGAGGAGCCCCTGACAAAAGACTGGCAGCTGAGACAGTAAGTAAAAGCAGCTGGATGTGACATAGCCTGACATGTACCTCCGTCTGCTGCCCTGATGGCTGTCTGCATCGTGCAAGAGTCTCTACATGAGGTAGAAGGTTTGGACCGGGCTGAGGATGTAGCCTGATGCCTACCATCACTGCCTCCAGGCAGAGACTCAGGACCTCTACAGAAGCCCTGTATAACCCTCATCAGTTTGCAGTCCCTATCACTCGCTTCCATCCGTATGAAGCTCCAGATATCTTTGCTACTATAGGCCACATGAGGACGGCAGCCTCCTATGGCTCACTGTTTCTTCCCTTGTGGGGACTGTAGACTTCACATCCCTGTGGCCCTCCCTTTCATCAAAAGTTCCTGTCAGACATTGTATTTTAATACTAAATGTTTGCTTGATCCTTCTCACTGATTCCCAGGTAGGTCCAAAGGCAGCTCAGAGATTAAAATCAAGGGCAATCACATCTTCAGCTAAAAATCTAATTAGTAGCCTGTGTAAAGGAACAAAGGTATAATATGATCCTTTAAAAAAATAAAAAAGCATTTTAACAAGGGATTTGTAGTAACAGTTGCTATTTCTAAGCGGATTTAAGGTTTACTGCAGGTTTCAGTTCACAGCTATGAGTCCAGCTTTGAGCGTAGCAAAGTCAGCATGTGATAGAAAACACTATCAAACTTGAAATCCTCAGTCTCTTGGTTATTCTTGCCACTGAAGCATTGGTAATTGGGAAATAAGAAAGACTACTATTTCATATTCTGTGTCACAAATGGCAAGTTTTTTTTTCAAATGTTGCTGTAAAGTCTTTAGTTGTAGCTATGGGAATTGCTATGACATTATCTAAGTTGGGCCCTAGCCAAAAGTTTTCCTTCCACACATCTTAGATATCAAGACGTTCTAATACCCTGTTCAGACTGTAGAGGTAGAAATAGGAAGGTGGGTTTTTTTTGCCTTGTTCGTCACTATAGTACTTGCATAGGAGCACACCTAGCATAGGTGCTGTGAAAGCAAAGTAGATAAAATAAACTGTTCATCTGCTGAATTGCTACTTAATCCTACTCTTTTGCTGTTCCTAAAAATAAAGATTACTGTCTAAATCTGTACATTTTTAGAGCAGGAAGATTAAGGACAGAAGATGGCATAACAGGGACCACCTTGTCTCCTTTCTCCACTTTCTTCGTGGCCTTGGCATCAGTTTTAAAATATTTTCTATGGCATAACTGCCATGCTCAGAGCAAAACGTCAGTGTTGCTGTAACTGCGTTATCACTCACAGCTTATGCAAACAGGGCTTTATTCCTTGACTTCTTTCCTCTTCCCGTCTGCAGCGGTGGTACCTTCTGGTTGCGTTCTTGTTGCTACATGCCTTTGCTGCCAGAATGGTTTCCCATTACCTGTCTCATGGTCTCTCCTTCCCTGGGCCACTTTGTTCAGTCACCTTTTTCTATGTGCAGTTATATGTAAAGCAGTTACTTTGTGGTTAACAGGCAGAAAAGACAGGATTAATGATCTACTAAATCAGTATTAGTATGTTAACCAGCTATAGAATCTTTGCTAGTCAGATGGAAAAGGGTCAGCTTTCACTACTCCCTGTGGCAGGTGCTTGATGTTGCAATCTTCCACCTAATTTTTTTCTCTTGAGATATTATAATCTTTCCACTTTGATGTCCTTCCTCTTGATCCTTGAGCTGCTGCCTGGCCCCATCTCAGCAGTCTTTACCTTTATCTCAGCTCCACCTTTCTTACATTTCGCGGCTCTGCTCTATGGACTTCCTCATAGCTCTTTCTCTCAGTTTAACAATTTCCACAAAAATCTGAGCAAATATTATGCAGCTGTGCCATAGCAGAACTCAGCTGACAGCAGAAACAGTAAGAAAGGAGGGGAGGCTATGTTGCATCTTTCCATGTTCACCTTCGAATCATCCACATGGTCTTTATATTTGCAGTTTCAACACCCTGGCAGGTCCAGGTAGTGAAACTGGGAATGCGTGTTGTGTGGCTTTAACATTTATTTCAAAGATTTTGTGTTGGTGATGTTGTGAGCACTTCATCTGCAAGTCTTCCACAAAGGACTGTTTCTGCTTCCGTAGAAAAATGTTCTTTCCTACATTTTTTTCAAGTCTAAGTAAAGGGATGGGTATTTCTGGAGAACAGAATTTCAGTTGGTAAAGACATATATAGTTTTTTTTCAGCAGCAGCTTTTAGATGTTAGCAATGACATTAACCTATTTAGTGTATAATCTACTAAAAATGTCGCCATGAGGAATACGTTGCTGGGAAAAATACGACCAATGGAGAAAAAGGTTGAGTATACTCCATACTTTTCTCCATTACTTTACAGCGTTTACGTATAATGATGAAAGATTAATTTAGTCTTTATTTTTCAAGAAGCAAAGGCCAGTAGTTTCCTGAACTCAGGAGCCACTAAGACATGGTTTCCTACAGAGTTTTTTTCCTGTGGTTTACTCATTTTTCTGTCTCCTAAATGCAAGATCATACCACTGCTTTTCGCTGAGTAGGAAAACTTTTAGGGATATGAGTCCATAGTCCTAAAAAACCTGTAATGAATCTTAAAATGCATGTTATAGATGTGCTCTCTCTCTAACTGGACAACCTCTTTTTGTGACCCTATTACTTTCCAAAAAGCCCAAGTACCTACCTTGGAAAATACATATTTTTTTACTTTTATTAATGATGATGTGAATGACGAATGTGAACAAGCATGTGTGTGATGTGGTAATGTGTAAGGTTCTGATGCAGCTGCAGAAATATGAAATTCCAGCTGGATCACAATGTTTAGGACACTGACATCCTGGTATCCACAGGCTGCACAAACCCCCTTTCTGTCGTGAAGATAAAATCAGTAGAGAATGACGTTGCCTAGCTGTCCTACCACCTGCCAGCTCTGTTATTACAGGTTTGCAGATACTAAATTGTGGATGCCGTGACTTGTTTAGGCTTCCACGTTCCCAGCTGGGTGTCTCAGATGCCTGCCTGGCTGTGAGCAATCCAGTGGCTGTGACAGCAGACTCTGCACCTACCAGTGAAGTGGATCTTTTGACTCCCAGGCTCCCTAGTCCACGTCTGCGCTCATTGCTGGGCTGGTGAATGCACTACCTTAAATCTAAATTCAGTGAGTAGACAGCCGTCAGAGGATAGGGTTGCTTTTTGCCTGGCTTCTAGAATCTGCAGGCAAGCTGTTAACCCATGGATGGGTGAATGGGATGTGTCTAGTATGTAAGATTTACAAGTGCCTAGATATCTGAGAAGTCTGTCTGGTCCTGGACTGCCCACAGGCAAATACCACACTCCTGCAGTTCACAAAGACTCGTTTCATAGATTTCTGGACTGTGCGCTATAGAATATATTTTCATTTGGGAAATATCAAAACAGCCCTGTGCTGCAAGCACTCAGTGTTTCTTTACCTTTGACTTTACGTTCTCTGCAGAGTCTTAAAGTCTCGTGTGGTGTGTGTGCGACTCCTTGAATGGTGTGTGAATGCTTGGGCAGCGACTTCTCCCTTAACATACACCACAACTGTGTCCATTTTGGATTCCGCTGTACTAGAAGGATGTTGAAATACTGAAGTGAGTGTGGCAGGAGCCCCTGTGATTGTGACTGGAGTGGGTGGTGTACAAGTAGAGGCTGACAGAA